AAAAAAAATAAAATAAAGCATATTTAAGATAAAACGTGAAGTAATTACAAAACATGTTTTTTATTTTTTATTATTATAATTTGATAGACAAAAATGACATCCAAACATGTTTTCTAATTCATTATTTATCACAAAACAGAGACAAAAATTGTCTTTGTTTTTTATTGTTTTGAAGACACAAAAACGACCCCCAAATGATTTTATCTTTTTTTAATGGTGCTGACAGAGAGGATTACAGTTGACAATGATGGTTTATTGAAGAGAGAAGGTTAACTGTTTGAACAATGTTATTGAGACATAATTTGAGTACATAATGAATTGTCATCAATAATATGATAATGAATTTATTAATGCTACAATGAGACTCATCATTAAATACATTTCGCTATCATTTTATTGATGACAACTCATTATATTCCCAAATTATGTCTCAATAGCATTAGTGTAACTATTGCTGTTTGCCCAAGCTAAGCGATTGATTTCAAATCTCAACCAGAGATTAGAGATATATATATACAATTTGATTCCTGAATGTAGCTCTCCAACTCGGATAGCCATCAACCAAACCAAATAAATCAGCTTAGCTACTGGCCTAACTCAATCAACAAAGAGATTGACAGACCCAAGGATAGATTTTCGCACGCCCGTGATAGATCTAAATAAAGTACTCTTTATTGAGTTGATAGATTTTTGGACATAATGAGTTGCAGTTGAAAAATCTTAGAGGTTCAATACTTTCCATATTTTTTAGAAGTCAATCATTTTTGTTCTTTAGATTACATGTCTTTAAATTATTTTGAATTATGATGACCGACTAAGAACTCGAGGAAGTAATCGATACAAGCCTAGATATTCTGTAGTAAAAAAAAAAATTGCAAACATATCTCATAAAAGAAACTTCTAACCTAATTCAAAGTGTTCAACCTTTGAATGATTACTGATGATGCACAAATTAAATTTATACACCACATGTCAGATGAGCAGTAATAAATGTTGTAATTAAGAAAGAGATGAAAAAGACAAAAATTTATAGTAGTTCGATCAACGTGACCTACGTCCACTTTGAATGGCTAGAGTCACAGAATATTTTATTACTTCAAGAGTCTAGGGAGAACAGAGAGTTACAAGTTATCAGAAGGAGAGGAGAGTTGTGCTCAACTGAGTGTGATTAGCCCCCCAAGTATTAGTGAGGCTTACAATTTATAGTCGTCTNAGGAGAGGAGAGTTGTGCTCAACTGAGTGTGATTAGCCCCCCAAGTATTAGTGAGGCTTACAATTTATAGTCGTCTCTTAATAGATTGGGGCAACTTAATAATAATTAAATAACTAATATGGTAGAGCTAGCGACCTCTTTTCAACGGATGAGGTAGATACGGTATTCTCCATAAAATTCAGTAAAAGAATGAGGTGGTAGTTGATTTTTTTCAAGACGGCGTGGATAAGACTTTTGGGATGACCTTAGTCCAGGGTGACTTGGATGAGACTCTTTGGATGACTCTTACTCCAAAGTGGTTAAAAAGAAACTCTTGAATGATCTTTACTCCAAATTAATTAGGAAAAAACTCTTGGAAACTCTACTTACTTCTTTGACGAGCTTGACTAGGTGTGAAACTTTTGGACTAGATCTCTTGGAGTTTGACTTGTAATTTAAACTAGACTTACATCGTAGGTTAAGCCCTCGGGCTTGACCCATCAGTAGCAACAGATTGTACAGTTCTTGCTTGTCTGTGGTTTGTCTAATGATGATAAGAGCTCGTTCATGTCCACGCACCTTGTGGTCTAAGTATAACGCTTGGTGTTGCTTTCTACTGCTATAAGGCTGGAGGGGGAGGTGGATACGGCGATGTTGTTTTTGGGGAACGTGTAGGTGGAGTGGCCGGCATTGATGTTCTTCGCCAGCCATCTTTTTTGAGGAAGATGAACAGAGTACTGCGATGATGAAACAGCAGCTTCGTCAGAATTGGCATTTAAGGGGCAAATTCTTCCGAGAAAGTTCGAAGATGTCTAGGAGAATAGAATAAGGTATGGGGGACGATTTTTTGGTCCTAATGGCTTGAAAAAATTGTAATATAACTTAGTAAAGCTTATGCCATATTAAGAGATTTTCCAAATTTTATCGTATTCATATTCAAAAAAAAATATTTGGTAGTATATATACTCAAACTAGAATTTATGATAACTATCCGAGGTCGATGTGGAACTGCTAAGTCACAGCAACTAGCCATCAACATGTTCGTGTGCTTCTCTCTAAGTCTATTCATTTCAAATAATGTATCATAAACTTAAGACATCCAGCCAGATATCATATTCTCATTACATTTTGTTCTCTCTCATTCTTAAAAATGCATTTTGAGACACGATTATTAAAATCTCTTCTAAACCTACTACAAACAAACTTCACCTCATGGCATGATCATCCTCATTGTTAATGTCAATGAGCTATTTCTAGAAGTGCTTGGGTTACATATGGTCTAATTAAAGGGATGAAAAAGTAATTTGCCAGATATAACATCGATAATTGAAATACCATAAATTGTGGAATTAAAACAATTTCAAGAAGGGTGGAACAATAAAACAATTAGATACACTGCCGGTCTTAACATCTTCAATCATTGATTGTGTTGCATCCTTCAACGATGACTCCGAACTGAACACAAAAATTCATTCAAAGATATATTAGTCGTAACAAAACTACATGTAATTCCTACTCTAAATTGCATGTAGCATGAAAAACAAAATTAAACTTCTATAATAATATATACAAAACAAAAAACAAAAGTCCCGTCTAGGGTCAATCCGACCCAAGTTAAGACCCTAGGAGAAAATGTTAGATTAGATCCATGACAATATAATATAGTAATATAAATAACACGAAGTAATTATTCAAATATTAATATTATTTATTTAAAAATATTTTTCTTATTTTTGATATGCGAAAATACAAATTCAACTTTTACATTCAAGTTTTTGGTATATAATTCGATTAATTGAAGTTGAATTTGTAGACCAAAATATAATATAGTCTTCTATTAATTAAAAATATAAAGAAAAAGAATTAAAACTTGTTAATATAGTAAAATAATTTTTTAAATGATGAATGTTAATAGGATTTTGAATAGTAAGCAACTCCATCCGACTTTAATTTTTAACTATTTTGTGTTTGTTTGTTGTGTGTTGTAAAACAAAATAATTAAGTAAATACTCCGACACAGACAAAAAAGCCTCGAATTTAAGCTAAGATTTGGTTTATTGCCTCTTGATTAATTGTTTCTTGTAAATAAAATCTTTCACCTATTTATAGGCCTTTTGTCGTGTCTCTAAAATTGTCTACGCAACTATCTAGTTTTTTATATAAGAACATTTTAGGTTTCTTTTATACTTTTTCTTATATTCCTTATATATTATAGAATGTTTATTTGAAGAAAATTTAAATAAGAAACTATTTTTAAGATTCTCTAGAATATTATTTCACTGGCTTTAAAAATTAAAGAACTCATCTTAAAGTTGTTTGAAATTTTCAAGAAGTTAGGACGTGACAAAAGTAAAACTTAACATAAGATTTTGTGTATTAAGATAACTCATTTTTTTAATATTTACATAAAAAATAGATAAGACGAAAAAATAATACAGATAATAAAAAAAAGTATTCATTTAGTTGCATTGTATTAGAATTGGCTCAATCTATACCTTGTTCCATTTATAAACTTGCATAGTTGAATTTGTACTCTATATAATCCATGTTTAACAGATTTGTTTCTTATTTAGTCGGATTTATATTGACTTGTTTATTTGAGATACCTATCAAGTTCATTTGTTTATCACATGTATCTACTAATGTTTAACACAAACTAATTTTTCGTATTGATTTCTTATTAAGTTCGTATTTCATATTTAAAATTGTCTTAAAATTACAGGCCCTAATTTTTTTTTTAAGCAATTCTAAATTTTTTCGAGGGCCTCAAATATGTGTTAAATTGGGGCTAGTCTCATCGTTTCATTTTTTTTTTGCTTGAGAAAAAAAGGTTAAATTATAGTATAACTATATATGTTTTCATATTATCCTTCAATTATCATGTTTTTCATATTAATCTCTAATTATAATTATTAATTTTATACTATCCTAATTACAAATTAATATCTTACTTTCCCCTAAACTACGTAATTTTATTTGACTATATTCAAAAATGTAACAACTCATTGATATTTTTGGTCCAAACTACTACAACATTTGACCTTTTATTTTTTTTTAATAATATGTATTCAATTCAAATAGCTAGGTGATGGTATAACATGGAAAACTAAATAATAATAATAATAATAATAAAGGAGATAAGATGAACTCGGGAATTTTACTTAATTTAAATATGAAATTATTTGTCCCTCTGTTTACTTCTATAATAATAATAATAATAAATCCCATCTAGAGGCGGCCCGACCCAACTTCGGCCTGAGTGAAAATGTTAGATCAGTTCTTTGACAATATAATATAGTAATATAGCTAAGAAAAAATAATTATTCAAATATTAATATTATTTATTTTAAAATATTTTCTTTATTTTTGATATGCAAAAATACAAATTCAACTTTTGCATTCAAATTTTTTCGTATATAATTCGATTAATTGAAGTTGAATTTGTAGACCAAAATATAATATAATCTTCTATCAATTAAAAATATAGAGAAACAGAATTAAAACTTGTTAATATAGCAATATAATTTTTCAAATGACGAAAGTTAATAGGATTTTGAATAGTAAACAACTTCAACCCACTTTAATTTTTAACTATTTTGTGTCTGTTTATTGTGTGTTGTAAAAGAAAATAATTAAGTAAATACTCCGACATAGACAAAAAAGTCTCGAATTCAAGTTAAAACTTGGTTTCTTGCCTTTTGATTAATTGGTTCTTGTAAATGAAAACTTTCACTTATTTATGGGCCTTTCGTCTTACTATGGTGTCTCTAGAATCATATATGCAAATATCTGGCTTTTTAATATATATAAGAACATTTTAGGTTTCTTTTATAATTCTGCTTATATTCCTTATATATTTTAGAATGTTCTTTGAAGAAAGTTTAAATAAGAAACTATTTTTAGGATCCTCTAGAATATTATTTCAATGGGTTTTAAAATTAAAGAACTCATTTTAAGGTTGTTTGAAATTTTCAAGAAAATGGGACATGACAAAAGTCTCACTTTTTTTTTTGTTGGAAAGGAGAAAGGAGAAGAGAGACTTGAACCTTTGACCTCAAGAACGCAAAATTTTTACAAAACAAAGAGTATCATTAGATTAAAAGTCCATTGTTGCAAAAGTGTTACTTAACGGAAGATATTATGTCTTAAGATAACTTATCTTTTAGTATTTAGATAAAAAATAGATAAGATGAAAAAAAAATAAAGATAATAAAAAAAGTATTCATTTAGTTGCTTCGTATCAGAATTGGTTCATTATACTCTTTTCCATTTATAAACTTGCATAGTTAAATTTGTACTATATATAAGTCGTGTATAACAGATTTATTTCTTATTTAATCAGATTTTTGTTGACCCATTTATTTGAGATACCTATCAAGTTCATTTGTTTATCATCTGTATTTACTAATGTTAAACACAAGTTCATTATTTTCGTATCGTTTTCTTATTGAGTTCGCACTTTGTACCTAAAATTGCTTTAAAATTAGAGACCTTAAATTATTTTAAGCGATTCTAATTTTTTTTTGAGGCCTCAAATATGTCTTAAATTGGGGCTAGACCCACCACCGTTTCTCGGTTTTTTTTTTTTTTTTTTGCATGAGAAAAAGGGTTAAATTATACTATAACTATATATGTTTTTGTATTCTCCTTCAATTGTCATATTTCGCATATTTAATCTATAATTATAGCTATTAATTTCATACTCTCCTAATTACAAATTAATATCTTATTTTTCCCTAAACTACGTAATTTTGTTTGACTTTATTAAAAAATATAAGGACTCATTGATATTTTTGGTCCCAACCACTACAGCATTTGATTTTTTTTTTTTTTTTTATAATATGCATTCAATTGAAGTAGCTAGGTGACGGTATAATATGGAAAACTAAATAATAATAATAATAATAATAATAATAAAGGAGATAAAATGAACTTGGGGATTTTACTTAATTTAAAGATCAAATTATGTGACGGTCTGTTTGGTTATGAAGAAAAGAATGATGAAAATTGAAGTAAAAGAAAAGAAAAGGATAAAAAATATATTTTCATGCATATATTTGATTAACATGAAAAATTTTCTAGAAAATTTTTTAAAAAATTCATTCTATTGTTTGAAAGAAATAAAAGTTACAAGATTTTTTTTTAAATTGTCTAAATTTCTCTTAATTATATTAAATCAGTCTAAAGAAGAAAATAATATGTATTATAATTGAAAGTTAATTTTTTTTTTTAAAAAAGTAGCTTGTAACCTAATTATGAGATGAGCACAAAAGCTTTTGGGATAAATTATATGATTAATCAAATTCATACCAAGATTTTTTTAAATTAATAATCAATAAAATATTTTAAGATAAATAAAGATAAAATGAGAAGTTAATTATAAATCACAACTTTCTAATATTTTCTTATGTTTTTTACCCAAAAAAAACAATTGATTAGTTGTGAAAAAATTCAACACGAAAGAAAATTATTATTTTTATCGTTTTCCATGCTAACCAAAAACATTAAATTTTTTTAAAAAATTATCTTTCTTGAATTTTTTACAATTATCCCACTGAAAAAAGTACCGGCAAAAATAGAGAATATATACATACCTCGATTCACAGGCTTCTTCGGATTCAATGTAAGATTGTCTATCATCAGCAATTGTTTCAACAGCAGGCATTCCATCATAATCTCGAGAAATTCCTGATTCTGGTTTAAACCGAAATGCATGTGAATTTGCAACCCATTGAGCTTGATTGTCTGCCAAATTGTTCTGCATCATTTGATCTTCATAATAAGGTTCCATAACCAAGAAATTAGGTCTGCTACTACTACTACCCATAATATTATCACTCAATTCAACATAAACACCATCATTCTCGTTTGTCAGAAAATCATTCATCGCAAATGGCATTTCATTGCCTGCAGAATAATGTTGAAAAACCGGCACGGCGTCTGTACCGGTCGGATTAAGGCCTAGTTGTAACTCCGACGACGGAGAAAAATGTGGACTGGAAGGGACTTGGGTGAAGCATTTTTCTCTGCAGATTGCGAGCTGTGCATGAACATATTGAAGCTCTTCAATGGCTTGACGCAACTGATAATGAAGCTGACGTATGATTCCACAGCACCCATGAACTGGAAACTTCTCTCGCATATTGGACTCATATATGATAGATTTCATAGCCTCCTCTTTTTGTTCATCATCATTCGATTGCCTTAGAATCTTCATGATGTTGCAGACACCATAAAGCCGGTGAGCGTTTTGGAACATCTTCGGGTGGTTAGCCGGAAAATATGGCGCCAAGGCACACTCTGGTGAGCATCTCCGGCGTTGATACTTACATGCAGCACAAGCTTGACTTGTGCCACCTTTTACTGTCATTTTTTCGACTCAAGATCTAGTTCTTAGAATGCAACCACCAGTGAGAGATTATCGTCATACTAGATATGGGAAATAGTAGCAGAATTAACACGAGCTGGTAGGATGAAAATGGTTCCCAATATAATGTTATTTTCTTCGATTTTTCTCAAGAACTTTTGTTTATGAGAGGAGACATAAGTATAATCATTGAATATTCAATATGATTTACTAATTCAACGATTAAATATGAAGTCTATTATCCAAATTGTTTAAAAAAAAAAGTAATCAATAAAATCTTGCTGTTCATCATCAGTTCACAACACGTAAGGTTTGTTAGGATCGGAAAGACTGAGTAAATATTTTGAAATTCCGATTCTAATGGAGGATTTGTTTGGGCTTTGAAGTAACTGATTAGTAGTAAAGTAGTACGGAAGCAATGTTGTGGGGATGAGCTAAGTTACCCAATCACAGTTGGCCACGGTGTATTGTGGGTTTGTTGAGAAGGGGTTTTTGGTCATTTTAATTGGTGTTTGTTTTTGGAAGATGACGAAAAAGCCCCCTTAAGTTATGATTGTGAAGTAGGTAAACACTNATTTTAATTGGTGTTTGTTTTTGGAAGATGACGAAAAAGCCCCCTTAAGTTATGATTGTGAAGTAGGTAAACACTATATAAGGTGCGCGCTGAAGCCACAACACAAAGACTTGGACCGTTGCAGAGAAGCTTGGCTTGCACGAGTGGATAAAACGTTTCCTCAACGTACCTTCGAATTACAACGGCTATATGAAAGCTGTTCGTCACACGCTAACGTTGACTTTTTTTTTTTAATTTCTCAACTGACACTTATTTAGAATTAATAATTGTCCGTGCCTTCACGAAAAAAAAGATTAAAACTCTAGTTTATCATACTACCATAATAATTAATACATATTCAATCATCAACACATATCCAACCACCAAAACATCAAGTTAATCCCTACTAATTTCAAAAAATTTATGCAGAATTTCCTTTAAAAATAGATATACAGAAAAATATAAACATGTCTACAAAACTTACAATCATCACTACATACTCAAACCACCAAAACAATCATCATTCCATACCCAAAATCATCATAATTATGTATAATTAGTTAACTTTACAAAAGACGGAATACAAAAAATACACACATGCACAAAATAAAGAAACAACTTCATATTCTTTACAATTTACACCAAGTATCCTTCAATGTATACCTGAAAATATTTAAAATATAAAAATTATCGAAATAAGTGAGTCAAAATAAAACAATTGTAAATCCGAAACATAAGACCCCTTACTTTTTTCGTTAGTTGGATTCAATAAAATTAATTACATTACCCTGGAATGATTTAGATTGATATAAGTAAGAATTTAGAGAGTTTGTAACAAATTATCAATTTATTTAGGAAAATATATGGAGGAATGTAGAGACTTACAATCAAATAAGATTTTCTTAGTATCATTTCAACAGACGGTTCATTTGCTTAATGATTTCAATCATAAATCTGTATTAGTGACAATATAATGGTGTGTGAGTTTGATTTGCGAGTGTTTGATTGGTTACAGTTATGTGTTTNTTATTTGTTTAATGATTTCAATCATAAATCTGTATGGTGACAATATAATGGTGTGTGAGTTTGATTTGCGAGTGTTTGATTGGTTACAGTTATGTGTTTGTGTTTGTGCATGTATTGTGTGTTGTGTGTCTACATGAGAAATAGAGAAATATAGAGTCTTAGTAAGAGAGATTTTCATACCTAAACAATTGTTTGGTCAGTGATGAGTTAGTCATCGTCAAAGGTGGACAGGTCGGTAATGGATTGCATATCATTTAACTCTCTTAAATGTCTTATTCATCCCTTTAAACCTTCTCTTCATCACTATCCTTAATGTCCTCGTATCAATACGAACGCACTTTGCCCAATGAGGAGAATGCACAACCACCTANGATTGCATATCATTTAACTCTCTTAAATGTCTTATTCATCCCTTTAAACCTTCTCTTCATCACTATCCTTAATGTCCTCGTATCAATACGAACGCACTTTGTCCAATGAGGAGATTGCACAACCACCTAAATTATTCACATAAATAATAAAAGTAACATAATATTTATATTGTAGGAATAGTAAAGTTATTTTAATACAGTGACATAAAGTAAATTTACCTGATTACGTCGGCCCCATCCACAAAGGTCCATTGTATATACACTATCGTTCTCGTTGACAAATTCACTCCAATCCTATAAAGAATGAATCTCATTGTAAAACTAAAAGTTGAAATGATGAAAAGATTACATAATTCAGTAGAAATAAATTTGTTTAAACTATACCATTTACTTGTCGTAAGAATCTTATAACAAAACTTCTGGGTAAACAATATTTGTAGTGCAATTCGACCCATCTTCTGGAAGGAGGACTGTAATACAATCCGAAGATGTGCATCTAGATAGTGCCACATAAAGGTGTCCATGACTAAAAACAGGTGTCCGCAAATCAATCCCAACGAACTTGACAGATTATCCTTGGGCTTTATTGATTGTCATAACATAAGTTAATCGGACAGGAAACTGACGTCTTGTCATTCGAAAAGGCAAGTCCAAAGATGTTGGTGTCATTGATATTCTCGGAATGAAGACTAAATTGCCAATTTTATCTCCATTTAATATCTGAGCTTCGATTACCCTTGAGGCACATCTAACAACCATCAATCGCGTGCCATTACAAAGTCCATCCTTTGGTGCAATATTTCGTAACAACATTATTGGGCATCCAACTTTCAACTCCAANCTATTTAATATCTGAGTTTCGATTACCCTTGAGGCACATCTAACAACCATCAATCGCGTGCCATTACAAAGTCCATCCTTTGGTGCAATATTTCGTAACAACATTATTGGGCATCCAACTTTCAACTCCAATTTAAACGGTGGCAACCCTGAAGGATTCAGCGAGTTTAAGTACTCATTAGGATATCGATTCCTAATGGTACGGTCAAGCTCATCACCTTCAGACATTTTATCTGCAGCTAAAAAAGTAATTGTCTCTCCCGGAGTAATATTCAGTGCTGCAGCATTTATATCACTGACGTCGTCATTACGCGCAGAGAGAATTGTGCGTTCAGTGAGAAAGGTTGGAGTCACTATACCAATCACATCCAATTGTGGATAGATTTTNGTAGCATTTATATCACCGACTTCGTCATTACGCGCAGAGAGAATTGTGCGTTCAGTGAGAAAGGTTGGAGTCACTATACCAATCACATCCAATTGTGGATAGATTCTAAATATCAATTCATTTAGATTGTGACACCGGTTTATTGTAGATGGATGTTGCACAATTTCATGTGGATTGGTCTCAATCTAAAAAATGAGAGTATAATTAGTCACAAAGTGAGATTTANTACGTTCAGTGAGAAAAGTTGGAGTCACTATACCAATCACATCCAATTGTGGATAGATTCTAAATATCAATTCATTTAGATTGTGACACCGGTTTATTGTAGATGGAAGTTACACAATTTCATGTGGATTGGTCCCAATCTAAAAAATGAGAGTATAATTAGTTACAAAGTGAGATTTAATTCAAAGCATCATATTAAAAAATTCAACAATTCAAGGTGGAATGAAATATTACCTCTATCAAGAATTTAGCAAAATTAGTATTTCGAACGTCAGTGCGAGTTAATCGCATGTTTAAACCTAGAGTCAAAACACATATATCTTTCCATAGCAAAGACTGTCTCAACGATGCACCCACAATTTGCTCACGAACGCCTTTAGGAATAACAGGCAATATTTGTCGAAAGTCTCCACCCAGGACAACAGTGATACCCCCAAAAGGTCTTTTATCGTCTCTGATATCTTGAAGGGTGCGATCGACTGCCTCAACACAGTATCGATGCTGCATAGGAACTTCATCCCATATTATCAACTTTGTTTTTCTAAACAATTCGGCATGCATTGATTGTTTAGTGAACCCACATATTGAATTGTCTAGGGTTTCCAAAGGAATATAAAATGTATAATGTGTAGTGCGCCCCCCTACCAATAACAACGATGCAATACCAGATGAAGCCACAGTAACAACAACATGTTCATAACTACGCAATGGTTGCAATGGTATTGTACAAAAACGTTTTCCCCGTCCCAGCACCTCCACTCAAANTGGTTGCAATGGTATTGTAAAAAAATGTTTTCCCCGTCCCAGCACCTCCACTCAAAAAAAAAGTAGTTGCTATGTTTTCACATACTGACGTTGTGACGGCAGTATAAGCAGCAAGTTGTGCATCATTAAGACCGTCAACATTAATTTGTGCATCAGACTGTTGTGCTTCATTCTGAAGTTGGTGATGCTCAAACAATAATCTATTTCTAACTGTTGCATTCCAATTTCCAATTGATTGTGGCATNTTATTAAGACCGTCAACATTAATTTATGCATCAGACTGTTGTGCTTCATTCTGAAGTTGTTGATGCTCAAACAATAATCTATTTCTAACTGTTGCATTCCAATTTCCAATTGGTTGTGGCATGGGTGGAAAGTCAACTAAACTCTTCCCCGACTCATGGAGCAATTGATTAATCAAATATAAGCCATAATCTTCAATATGATCATTAGTTGGATTCAAAATACCAAACATAGTACGAATCTTGTATGCTAAATCATCACATATATGTGCTGAGAATTGCTTCCACAATGCAAATGGATGCAATGGAAAGCATTCCGTTAGAATTATGGCAAATAATCTTCTTAATTGGTACCCCGTTCTCATAATTGCAGCCTCTTGAAGACATTGTATCCATTCTTCATCATCTTCAAGAAGTCCTCTTGCAACACATGCTGACTTGAATGTATCATGCATAACATTATTTACCGTGCGTAGCCAGTCAAATGAAGTAGGTCCTCTGACAACAGTTAGAAGCAAACGTAAATAAAACCGCTCACCTGAATTAGGGCTAGCAAAGTACATTCTACCAATTGCATAACCCCTTTGTCTTGG